TCTCACTCACCATTTGGCTTTGAGGCAGAGAGGAAAGCCCACACCCATGGGCATCAGTGAAAATCATGATGGCAGTCAGCAAATTTTCTCTAATTAAAAATTTGGCATTTTAAATAGCCAGGCTATTCCCTTCTCAGGACTAAAATCTAAAATTTAATACTAGATACTGAAAGTATTTCCATCTGAAACATAACCACAGATCTGGCTCTGCTCATATTTTTTCAACCCACCCTTTCCTCCCACTTTCCCCACATGAACACACACACACACATACACACACACGAGTGCCTTTTATGTAATCAGTTGATAAGATTGATCTCTTCTTTGAATTGCTTTGATTTTAAATCCACCCACTATTTGTGGGAGGTACAGGGAGATGGAGGCAATGTGTGCTTTAAAGATTCAGGAAGTACGAGGCCATGGATGCAATGTGTGTTTTAAAGATGCAGGAGGCACAGGGCCATGGACGTCATGTGTGCCTTAAAGATGCAGAAGGTACAGGGTCATGAATGCAATGTGTGCTTTAGAGAGGCAGGAGGCACAGAGCCATGGATGCAACGTGTGCTTTAAAGATGCTACTCTGAAGCTAGGCAGTGGTGGCGCATGCCTTTAATCCCAGCACTCTGGGAGTGGCAGAGGCAGGTGAATCTCTGTGAGTTCGAGACCAGCCTGGTCTACAAGAGCTAGTTCCAGGACAGGCTCCAAAGCTACAGAAAAACCCTGTCAAAAAAACCAAAAAAAAAAAAAATGCTACTCTGAGGAGTGCCACAGAGGCATCAGGGATGGGATCTGTGTCTTTTCAATGCAGTTTTGATTTTGCTAAGAGTGCTATGAAATTCAACATATATTCTCTTATTTCAGACCTAAACACTTCAATAGTGGAAGACCAGCTGCCAGGGTATTGGTTACCTAACAGAACCGTGGGCTTACACGGCTCACAAGTCCTTGTGGATCCCCTATTACTGATGCCCACCCCACGTCTTGATGTCTTCCTCTACGTTTCCATGGTGTTGCAAGTCTGACCCCCTTTGTGGCCACAAATTCTCTGAGGGGAGAAAGAGGCCATTTCTAAAAGATAGCATTTTGTATGTTTCCAATTATACAATATTCTTAAAAGAATGAAATTACAGATCTGTCACAGACTGGTGACTTCTGAGCACCAGGGTCTGGAGAGCAGATAGTTACAGCTGTAAAGGAACAGTACCAGGAGGCCTTGGGACTGGGGAAACACTCCGACTCTTTACTGTGGGGAACCTGCATAGACACATCCAAATGAACACACGTCTGCCTGGTGAAACCTGAATCAATTCTCTCTTAGAAGACAGTTTTCAAGGTTTGAAACCACGGTAACATTATGTTGCCACTGAAAATGTAATGGGTCATCGAAATTGTCTATACAGTTAAAAATTCCTGCACATCTATAAGTATTTCTAAAAAGTTTAATGGTCAAATGCAGCTAGCTACAAATAGGAAAATTTGAACTCTTCAAAGGGATTTAAAGATTTTTTCTCAGATATGTAATGTTCTTTTTGCAAATAAAACTTTAAAATATTGTAAAGCCTGTATCCAACTGTGTACTAACTGCACTTTTTATGTAACTACACAGCACAAGGTCACACTGTCACGGTTCAAATACATTTTTCTTAATAAAATTAAGGTTATCAATATTTAAATTGTCAAACTAAAACAATAATTTCAGAATAGGAAGAGGGGTTTAATAAACACAAATATGTTGTGCTATATAATCAAAAAAGTTCCAAACCATGTCAAACATTGGTACCTGGGGCATTCTAAAAAGTTCCCTTAAAACGGAACACCCCCTCAAACAAACAGAAAAAAAGTCAGTAAGGAAACCTGGTTTAACTTGTGACAGATTAGCTCTGGGGGATGAAGGGCAGGTGTGTGTAGGAACGTCTACCACCCGGAGATCCTTCATATATGCTTGGAGAGTTCCCACCAAGCTATCAGGCATTGCTAAATGCAGACTAAAAGCAAGGAAAACTAAGACAAAGTAACTTTTGTAATTACCAAACACAAAACAGTCTTAGATACAGACAGCCCCAGAGCAAGCATTAGGAAGAGTCTTGTTCTTCCGCTAACAGTAACATTGGAACAGCAGCATGTTCTTGGAGATTATTTTGTTCATAGTAAGCCCTGAAAAAAATATCCGGTTTGATAGAAGATTCTCACACAGTTGTGGTGAGAATCTAATTACAATGCAAAATTTCAAAGATTTGTACAAACACATTCATTGTTGCTAAGCTCCCAGCTTATGAGCTCTTGACCTATGCTCATTATTCCTAGTCTTAAGAATTGAGATTTAAGACTCACGATCATTATAGAAGCAGAAAGAAGCCTACTTATTCCTCATGGTCATAAACAGGTCCTAAACTGTCAGGGAGCACCAGGGCCTTACAGCAAGGCTGAACCTAAAAGGGTGGGACTGCAAAGTGAGCTGGAGATCTGGCCGGTTCATGCCCCAAGATGACACTCGACATAGGATGCGAGCGGAACTAGCAGCCCCCAAATAGACAGAAACAGCACCCTAGTGCGTAGCCCTACAAGAGCATGTCACAACAGAAAATTTGAGTATCTACTTGCTGGTTTCCTTTTAGGGGTGCCTTTTCCCATCTTGAAGCTAGTTCCTAAGTCTTGTTGGGCTTCTGTGTTTAAGTACTCCGTGCTCGTGGAGAGTAGGTGTGCCATAAATTGTTACTGGCTACATGAATGCTTCTTCACTGCACATAATTTCTGAAGAAAACTATGAACAACCTTCTTGGATTCCTTCTCTCTTCTGCCCCAGGAGTTGGTGGCTAGTCCTCAAAGCTTTAACATGAAAACCATCTTCAAGAGTAAAAATGGCATTCTGATCACAACCAATCACTAACTTACGGTCCTGGTTTCATCAATGACTCTCCAGACAAGCCAGTTATCTTCTCGCCAACACAAAATCATTACAATTTCTTCTTAATAACCACCCCATGTACTCACATTATATTCTAGATGAAACAATGTAACAAAAACATAATTCAGGTAACAAAAATACCCTCACTATTTCGGGGAGATAGTAATTGCCCTACTCCTCCATACCCTAAGAAAGCTTGGCATGCATATGACATTCTCTCATAATCTTTCTCATAAATGTCACTCTGAGTAGAATTTGAAGGAGGGAAGTCTGATTCACACACACAAAACACCTGCCGTAGATGGAGAGGCACTGCATGTGAAGAGGACCGGAAAAGAGGCATTTTATTTAGTTACCACAAACTCAAGAGTGCTGAAGGACCCAGATGATAGCCAGTGAAGGGCTGTGCTCAGCCGCAAGTGAGGAAAGGCATATCCCCAGGAGCACTGCCCACATTGAGCTTCTCGGAGGGTGAGACAGTTACGGTCCAACCTGAGTTCAACTGTGTTCCTAGGAAGACCTTAATGGAGAACTCCCAACTTCAAAAGCCTGGTAGACAGAACCATTCTATGACAAACACCTGCAACACAACACACAGCTTCCTGTGGCCACACAGTACGGGTGTAGCTTTGTAATTTGTGCTTTACAGGAAAACCGTTTATTGTCCTGCCAAATACCGCAGATCACAACTGGGGCCACCTCAACCTGGGGTGCCTTGTTCCTGGACTCTTCTCTGGTGGCATCAGCTTAGTTGCGGGCTCAGCAGCACCCACTGCGCACGGGACTAAGGCTGCATGCGTGTCACTGCAGCTATGCTGAAAATGCCAGAGGGCGAGTGACTGGAGTCACCGTGGGGTCCCATGCCCACTAGACATGCAAGAGAAAACAGAGGGCTCATGAAACGGACCCTTGAGAGGAAAGGACCAAAGTCAGGTGGTTTATATGGTGACTTGTCCTCACCCTATGGTTGTGACTCAGAACTTCGATTATGGGTGACTTCCTCCCATCCCCATTCAGAGGTTTTCTTTCTCACTGACTTGAAAATATCAGAAAAAAACAAGATTTACTTTTGCCATGGAAGGTTTCCCTTAACTCTGCAGATAGACTTTCACCAAGGGCAACTTTTATAGAGAAGTTTAAAATGCTTACTTCACATCGAAAACACAGTCTTCAATATGCAGTATTTTAATTGTACGGAGTTCACCTTATTCAATAATCTGGTCTCTCGCAAATGAGAGAGAGAGAGGGAGAGAGAGAGAGAGAGAGAGAGAGAGAGAGAAGTAAACAATGAACAGTGTCCCCTGCAAAGGAGAGTAACCAAGGACTTGGAGGATGTGTCAGGAGCTTCTCTCCTTTGTAGGCTCAGACACTTAGAAGCTGGAAGTGCAGCAGTATTGCAGAACTGACGTCCTGAGGGCTGGCGCAACATCCTCGAATGTTGAGCTGTTTCTACTATGGGAAGATTTCTATCTATGAAAACAATGAATTTCTTATGCTACAGGAAATAGAAACACAAGACATCTACAAGCCTTGAAAACCTGATCCTCTGTATTTCACAACGTTCATGCCTATTTCATCCCGGGCAGTGATTTTGATTTAAATATAGCAGTGCTCACTCTAATGTACCATTGTGTTTCTGCCATGAACCTTCCTTAAAAGCTGTCCTTAGCATGTTCTCTTGGTCTCTCAAAGGTAAGGGTGTAGTGTGGGATGGGAAATTCTCTGATAGGATAAGCACAGAATCTACTGTCTGTGCATCAAGCCGGACACACACTTCTGCTCCTGCCAAACTCTCCTAGCAGAAGAGAGTTTCCAGCTCCCGTGTCTTTACTGCCTGGAATTCATTTGGGTCCTAAGGTGTTCATAACACTTAGAATACACAAAATGGGCCACATTTTAAAAATCGCGCACAGGCTTCCAACCAGCTTGAGGTTTTTTCACCCCTCCCCCCAAAAGTCTAATTTAAAAGCAAACACCTGAGAATTCTAAATTAAGCCAAGCAGCACTGAGTTAAGTCACTTCAAAACCGAAGGACTGCCTGACTGCACCTGCAAAGCCCATGGAAAGCCCCGGCGGAGGGACCTCTCATTCATACCTATATTTCATTCCAGTCTGCTTTGCGGTGGACTCTTTGAGAGAAATGTGATGCTGAGGGGTGAAGGTCCCCAGGCTGCGAGCGATGATAGCGACAGTGCGGAATTTGGCCCGGGCTGCGTTCACCACATTGGGGGCGGTGGAGTTCTGCTTGCTCAGAAGTCGGTCCTCACCATTTCGACTCTTCAAATTGTGCTCTGTGCAGGCTATAGAGACTTGCATTGCTTCCCAGGACCAGCGCAAGGTCCTCTCAGAACCCCACAGCACAGGCGGTCGGCAGAGGGTGAGCAGTTGGGGGACTTCTGCTGTCTTTTAACCCCTCTTGCCCCCCTTCCTGGATGCCTTCAGAGGAGTCCCGGCAGCTGACTTCAGAGCCCACAGAGTCTCAGGAGAGGCTGAGGTTCAGGACAGAGTCCCGGGGACCCAAAGAAGTAAACAGCCAGGCTGGAAGTTGTTTCAGCAGCTGGAGCGCGGATCAGCCTCCCCAATCTTCCCCGTCTGTGAGCTCGGCTGATTAAACAGCCAGATCCATGTGGTCAGGAGGCTGATGCAGAAGCCTAGAGCTGAGCGTTCATGGTGACTGCACACAACCCTGCCTGGAGCCAGTCCGAGGTGCCTGGATGCGGAGGGCTGGCTTCTGGGCGCTGGCTCAAAGCAACACAGGCATACCGCAAGATGCGCCGCTAGCACCCTCTGGATCATAGGCAGGAGGCTCAACTGGAGAGGAGCATCCCAAGAAGCAGCTAACAGCAAGCCGGGCTCCGCGAACCCGAGGTCTCCATCCACTCTGTCAGTCAGCTGCCTCCTTCCCGGATTTTGAAGGATGTGGAGGTGGAGGCGTCTCAGGACCCCTCCCCACTCATCCTCAGGCGAAAGCTGGGGTTCCTGAGCCTGCACTTACTCGGGTTGGCGACGGCATGGAGGAGCTGGAAGGTCCCTTTAAGAAGCGCCTTGCCGTTGTGTGCAGTGGGAAGGAAAGATCACTGTGACCACTCCTTACTAGAACAGGACTGGGAGGGCAGCTCCAAGAGGGGGCTCTGCCTAGATGTCACCAAACCTTGCTGCAGCACAAGAGTAGGAACTGGAGAAAGCTGAGCGGGGTGCTCCTCAGAGGAGCACGCCAGTGATTAACACGTGAATACTGCCTGGCTTGCTGGATTTACAGCTTGGAATTCTGCTCTTAGCCTTGTAAGGGCTCATATCTCCTCTGCGTGCTATTTCTTATGCAGATAAGTTCAAAGTTTCCTGAAAAGCCACGGTGCAGTCTATATGGAGTTAGGTCTGCTAACTTACTGAAAATCTATGTCGAATACCAGAGTAGGGACTTCTGAGATGCTGCAGGGAGCAATGAGTTCTCCACACTGGAGGGGCTGACTGGCTGGCGGTGGGTGCAATGGGGGAGAAGGAGATCAATATCACTTCCCAGAAGGGTCCAGAGGGTAAGGGGAGCCGTATATGCTGCTCTGGCCACAGGGATGGGCATCAAGAAGCCCTATGATCTGAGCCTAAATGAGTCTTGTCTACAAGTCTGTTCCATCCAGATCAGTAACTGTCCAAGAAATGTGTCAGACCAAATTATCAGTTGATCGATAATTTATCTCTCTGCTTGAAGTATGTGAGAAAAAAAAAAAACCCTCCTGTGGATTTACTTAAACTCTGGCTTCTACAAAGCATTTTTTTTCCTGAATATGAGTCCTAACAGACCTCATTGCCAAGCAAGGAGAAACAGCAAACACTACTTGTGAGGAGCTTCTCTGGACTTTACAACCGAGATCAATACAGAAGGGAAAGTAGGAAGCCCTGTCTCCCTCAGCAAGGAACAGGCAATCTGAGTGGAAAGGACAAAGCATTCCGTCTTCAGAGACTATGTTGGAAATTGCATTCTACAGGTTCACAGTCTGATAGCCAAGCCGAGCCCACCAGAGTGAAGCGGGGACAGATTTCTGGAGTCTGGAGAACATTATATTGATTCATTGCCCATTCCTCAATGGAGTTCCTATTGGTATCTGATTCCGCTGCTGGGACACAAATATGTCAATGTCTGGGGGTTCGGGAGGCACGTGGGAGACTCAGGGAGCCTTCCAAGAGGAATAAGAGTCCCATGTGGCAATGGGTCTGATTTGATTGGCAGGAGTGGGGGAAGCAGTCACCCCTGGACTGGCATGTTCAGGGATGATACACACTCTGCCTGTGTGGACTAAAATATAAGTAAAACAGTTGGTCTGATCATGTATATCCAATTGAATGAAATTATAGAAATAAAATTTTCAAGGAGAGTCTATGCTTGCATTGAGATCCATTCAAGACATTAGTCTTAACATCTTTGAACCTGAAGATGAGATTGAAACCACATTATGGAATTGCATCCTTGACCCTCCACATGTTTTTTCTTTTTTTCTTTCGCTCTTTCCTTTAGAAAATAAATATGTTGATGAATGGGAAGAAATTTTTAGGATGAGTGAGGGTGGAAGGGTTGAATGGGAACCTCTTCTTCACACTCTTTTATGCCAGGCAGGAATACTGGGGTGGAGGGGCATATATGTATTCTTTGGAATAAACAGTGGGCAGAGAGGAAGCAGATCTGAGAAACCTTTATTTTTGCACACTGAGCCAGCTCATCGGAGATGATCAACGTGAATCAGAAAAGCAGTCAAAAATGAGAAGAGGAAGAAGTGGGAGGAATCAAAAGGAACAGCTTTTAGCAAAGGGAAAAAAAAAGCACCAACAAAGCAGCTTGGGACCAATTGAGTGAGGTGATAACCACCAGGCTGGAAGGGTCTGGAACCTGGGCTTCAACTCAGCCCTGGCTGTGAGGGAGGGAGTGTGTGGTGTAGGCAGGAGTTCAGCTGAGAATGCTGACAGTTTTACAGCAATGACTGGGAACTTTGAAGCAAAAAGAGGCCTGGATATATTAATCAATGCGGCACTCAGCTTTGTCGAAGAGCTAGCAGAGAAAGGCCAGAAAGCACAGGCTAGACCAGAACAGGGAAGAGGTTATCTGAATAAGACATAGAAGGCAGAACACCTCCGAGTCACCGCTGGCCCCCACAGGACGGCACAGAGAGTGTGGTTTTCGATAAGCCCTCACTCTATAAATAATTGAGAGGAGCTGAAGAAATAAATGGGAGGGAGAGAGGAATGCAGGGAGATGGGGAACTGCCATTTTCTGGTAAAGTCCTGACCATTCACTCTGAAGGAAAGCCTGTGTATTGAAAAGGCATCCCACGTTCCCTTCTGCTCCTCCCATGTGTAGTCCAGTGTCCCAGCCTTTGCAACACGCCACCTAGAGAATCAAAGACCCGAGGCCAGGGGATTCTCACAGCACAAGCCTCCTTCTCGTGGTTCACAGGGCCTTTCATCTCTGACAGGCAACCAGCAGCCCCATAGTCTCCCCAGACATCCTTGCTCTTCCTGGCATTAATGGAGCAATCGGTCTCAGGAGCCTGGAAATTAGATAACAGTTGGCTGTAGAGAGCCTGTTCCTAATAAGTTTGCTAACAGGCCATACGCTAATTAAGCTGGGGAAATTAGACTTGGAATGTGTGTCCTCTCGCTGTCACCGAACAGAATTTAGAGGAATGTTCACTATGAGCATTTCAGGCTGTATAGACACATAAGCCTGCATATAGATACATTTACATAGATGTATACAGATACAGATACAAAGTATAGATATAGTTATGGGCTGGATCGCCTCATCCCAAACTTCGTGTGTTGAAACCCTGGCCTCTCCCCAGTGTATCAGAATGTGACTGTATTTGGAGACAGTCTTTAAAGACGTACCTGAATTATAATGAGGCCGTATATGACACATGTCCCTATAATAAGGACCAGGGTCAGACACAAGAAGAAACAGAGCAGAGGATCATCTCCGAGCTCAGGGCAAAGCCCTCAGAAGAGGCCAAGCTTGCTGTCACTTTGATCTCAGCCTTACTGTCTGCAGAACTGAGAGAAAATTAACTTTTCCTGTGGTAGCTACTCAACTTGTGGTACTTGGTTGTGGCAGGCTGAATTAATACAGGCAGAAATATAATTTATATCTGTAATGTTGTTCATAAGAAACTATTGGAACTTAATAAAGTACAAGCTCCTAAGAGTCATTCCTAGTCATGATGAATGTCCTTACATAGTCTCCACACAGCCCAAGCTGCTGTTATTAATGTTTTATAGAATAGTGAGTTCCAGCTCAGCCTGGGCTACACAGCAAGAGTCTGTCATAAACACCTAAAGATAGACAACAATCTTCAGATCTGTCCTCTAGAAAGGCTGATGAAATGTACTCTGATGCAAGGCTCCAAGCGAAACTCTTTGGTTCCTCTCCATAAAGTCATACAGGGTTCTTTATGTTTGCTGGTGGCTTCTTTGACTAGCATACACTAATTATAAAAATAGTAAGTTTCATCCTGTGTGTGTGTGACATAGTCTGTTAACAGTCACCTCCAAACACCCTCCTCTCACCAATTTCCGAGTCCCCATCCTTTCCCACGTTCATGTTCTATGGTGAGTCTTGACAGGGTCATTTCCTTCGTGTTTAGCGGTCTCCTCAGCTTACATATTTTCCTTTGCTTGCTCATGTTCCCTAAGGCAGCAGTCAGCACCCCCAGAGACATCCTGAAGCTGCAGAGAGCACGGCACCAGTAGACCAAGCACAGTCTTGACATCTCACTGTAACTTAGAAGTAACCTGCAATTCTCTTTTACTTCCTTCCCGCACCGGAAGTGCGGGGGTGGGGCGGGCATCTTTATTTCAAAGACCTCCTCCTATTATGACTGTGTTCTATAGACGCCATGACTACATTTCTAGAGGTTGCCACAGCACGGGGCTAAATTTTCAAACTCTTCAGCTTGGCCACGACTGACTCCTACTGGTTACCTAGCAGCGGAGTTTTGACATCAGCGTCAGCCATATTGGATCTTGGTTATTTAAGACCAGATAACAGGATGTAAAGTTTGCATCTAAGAGCTTTGGTTTTTGTGGTCATCTCGGTGTTCCTGGGAACCCCGGGGACTTGACAACGGGGATATATGAGATGCAGTTAAGCCTGGTGCTTAGTCTTCCTCTGCCTTCTCCCTTTTCTGTGCTGCTGAACCGGCTTCTAACATTCTTGGAACCTTTGTTTCCTCATGGAGACACAGTGATGTGAGAGTGTGGTTCTCCAGAGCGGCTTCCGGCGATGGAGCTGCATTCTCTGGTTCAGAAAGCAGAAGGTAAACACATCCAATATGCCTCTGGCTAGTTAAGATGTAACCGAGGAAGCCTTTTACTGAATGTTTGGTTCTTAACCACTATGTATATTGTTCCTCACCCACCATAAAAGTCCCTTCTCATCAGAAAGACTTCACATGCACTCTCTTATGAATACAGTTTAAAAAGAAACCCTATTGCCATTATGAGTACTAGAAATAAATTCAATTTAGAAAGTCTAAATCTCAATATTTTATGAAAAGTATCTCGTGACTGTTTATTCTTATCCTATTGCTGTAAAAATTTTCCAACCACCCAGAAAAAAATTGGTTTATTCAATTTCTTCCCGGCGAAGTCTGAACCAAATATTTTTCACTGGTTCCACTTAGAACTTATGGTTTATATTCCATTGGAAAGCACAGCCAGCAGGAGCCAGGAAACATTTGGTCCCGCAGCCAGGCAAAATTGGAGTTATCCAACACAGAAAAGAATCCGCTAATATCTGAAAGAATTTTAAACATGAATCTGTACAGATGGCAAGCTGCTTCCTGTGCCTCATTTGTGAGTAGAGCTATGTCATTTATCAAGACTATTAAAACCTGGTTAGAGAGTTATTATATTCCCACAATTTCAACCTGCCATTGGAAACCATCATGGTCCCATATGTACAGAGACACAGCCTTTACAATAGTAAATAAAATTCAGACTGAACATAGTGACTTCTAGGTGTCTACCCTTTGACTTTCCTAGAATAACAGACCAACCAAAGAACCCAGCAGGACACGCAGAGGACAAACCCATTTTCACACACCAGACTCTATTCTAGAAATAAAGCGCCATGAACCAAAGGATGGACACGCGTTAGTCCTGGGAAATAAACCCAGGGCTTGAATGTGAGAGACAAGTGTTCTGTTACTGTGCTATTTCCAAGAGGCAGTTAACACTTAAACTATGTCCATGGCCACTGACAACTATTTCCTTAATCCAGAATATTATGAAATAGATGAACCACACATTCTAATTTTTTTTAAATAAATGTTCACATTGAAAACCTGGTGCGCCAGTAATGCATAGAAACAGCTATAGTGAAATGGCAAATTCACAGTTCAGCTGATTTTGTTCTGCCAGCTTCATAGTAGGCAATTTCTTGTGCTTTTTGGGAAAACAAATGAAAGAAAACTGACTGCTATTCTGCCTGCTTTTATGAATGTTATTTTACTTCCAAATTGTTATCCATTACCATGATTTCTAACATTGCCTTATATTAGCTTCTGACTACTAGAAACATGTGCTGTGTTTTTGGTTAAAAGATTTTCTTGAGAGGCTAACTCACAGAGAAATTGATTTCAAAGACAGAGTTATTATATATAACCAATC